GCTGGTGGCTCATGCCTGTAATCCTAGCTACTCAGGGACTGAGATCTGAAGATTACAGTTCAAAGCCAGCACAGGAAGGGAAGTCTGTGAAACTCATATCTCTAATTAACCAGTAAAAGCCAGAAGTGGAGCTATGACTTAAGTGGTAGAGCACTAACACAAAACGAAAAAGCTCAGGAACAGAACCCATACCCTGAGTTCTAGTACCAGCACAACATACACACACACACACACACACACACACACACACACACACACAAGTACACTCACATTCAATACAAAACCCAATAGAGGAATGGAACACAGGAGTAGGTAGACTTTTACAGCCTACCACTAGTTACCCAGTTCCCCTACAGCAAATAATAATGTGCATATAATATTAGCTAAGTGTCATACCAGAACAAAAATACAGACACTCCAATCTATTTCAAGTAAAAAAAAATAGATATAATTAATCAATTTAAGATACTGCATGAATTTCTCATATTAGACAATTAGGCATTCACAACAATTCTGAAAAATATGCTATCAATATTGACAGATGAGACCCTATAGCCATCCCTGTTTGTCATCCATCTAAAGGAAAGAACCAGTAATCCCTGGCCCCAAGAAGCAGGACCCTGGAGTGCACTACTGCTTGGGAAGCAATTCAGTGAACACTGCCAGTCAAAAACACAACACTTTTTCTCACATCCCACAATTTGAGAGTAGCTAGTGTAATATGAGAAATTATAAAGCAATAAGAATTGAAACAGAGCTGGGTGCCAGTGGCTCACTCCTGTAATCCTAACTACTCAGCCCGGGAAGGAAAGACCATGAGACTCTTATCTCCAATAAACCACCAGAAAAAAAAGTGGTGCTGTGGTTCAAGTGGTAGAGTGCTAGCCTTGAGCTGAAGAGCTGAGGGACAGCATTCAGGTCCAGAGGTCAAGCCCCATGGCCAACCAAAAAGAAAAAAAGAATTGAAACAATAAAAGTACAATTCTTTCTAGCAACCTAAGATTCTGAGAGCAATAGAGTCTGTGGCTAATTCTTAAATCAGTCTTCATAAGAGCTCTATAAAGATCAAAGCAAAAACAGCCGTTTGAAACTTTGGCAATTACTAGTGCATAGTATCTCATGCATAAATGTATTAGGCACCCAAGTATTTTCTCCCTGAAGGTTTCATGTTATTCTACGTTAAATCTGCTTCAGAACTGTGCCCACCCTCAACAAGAGGGACATCAGGAATGATCTCCTCCAAAGTAAGGTTATTCTTTCCTCCTGGAGCATGAACTATGCAGATGTTGAGTAACCAAGATGGCATCCAGATGTCGCATCCCAGCCAGCAATCATGGCTCTTCCACTCTGGCAGTTGCTCTCTTTCTTTTCTACCCCTCCTCCAATCCCCTCTACTCCAAGTATGCTATTTCCTCTTTCTTTTCCACCTCACATGCTCAGCAAAGGCTCTTATTGCCTAGGTCAGTTCTAAGGTTAACAGCTGACTCACACCTCGCTTTCTCCATATTGGATTCCTTTTTTGTTCCAAGGCTTGGCTCAAGTTCTACATCATCTTCAGGTTCCCTGAGCACTCCAGAAAGAAGTTCTCTCCATTTATCACTAATTTATTGACTTATTCTTACCATACAAGGGTCGTTCTCTTTTTTTATTCCTCTCCTCTCCTTTTAGCCCATGAGAAACTTAGGCTTGCGTTACCTCTTATTTGCATATACATATGTGTATCTCTTAAACCCACTCAACAGTTCCTTATACATCACAGACGCTCAATAAGCATCATTCTTATTTTACTAAGTGTAAGTAGTAAATGAGCTCTCAAATCTGATGAATGCATAAACTCATTGATCATAAGCTCACAAGTTCTTCATTTCTATGATTACAGTCCATCCCCAAGTTACGTTTTACTGGGTGTTTATGGAGCCCCGTCTATTCAGAAATGTCTGAGTCATGGAAGTGGCACTGTAGCTCAAGTGGTAGAGCACTCACCTTGAGCTGAAGAGCTTAGGGACAGTGCCCAAGCCCAGAGTTCAAGCCCCACGACCGACCAAAAAAAGAAAGAAAGAAATGTCTGAGTCAGCTCTTGGCATATTTTACCTCCCTTTCCCTTTGAAGAGAGCCTGTGCCCTTAATTTCTAACAGGTACACACCCACAATACCACATACCCTCTTTTACTTAGATATTTATCCCAATCTTACTTTGTAAGATAATCTTTCCACAATCAAATTTCAAAAACTCAGCAACAAGATTACATTGTCTCATTTTTCTCAGCCATAATCCATCTGTAACAAGCAGATGTCTCCTGGGTTTGTTTGTTCACAGGCCTAATTTCTACCCTTCCCCACTGAGAACTTCCACCTCTGATAGTCCAGGTTGTGCTGTCTTCATACCAGCATGTCTACTTGGACTCACTTCAACAGAACCTTTCAGCAGAGATATGGCAACACTGACCATCCCTTAGCCATTGAGAGGGTGAATGCAAAGAGTGTCTCAATATAATTGATTTGCACAGAAGGAAAAGTCATTTTAGGAAAGTGAAATGGAATGGAGGAAAGTAACAGAGGGGAAGTTAATTGGGAAATATTGTTTACATGTGTGGAAATGTCTTCATAAAATCCTTTTGCACAACTAACGCATGCTAATAAAAAGTAGGTTATAGGGAAGGCTGATGGTGAAAGTGAAGAAAGGTGAATACAGTCAACGTACTTTTATACATATGTGCATATATGAAAATAGAACATGAGACTTCTTGAAATTGTTTTATGAAACTGAGGAGGGGTAAAGGAGGATGATGGATGATGTAAAGTTGATGGGATACAGTGTAAGCATGTATGGAAATGTTGCAGTGGAACCCCATTTGCATAAATAATGCATACTAAAAAAAACAATCTTTCAAAAGAATAATACCTTCAAAGTAATGTGTAGCTTCATTACTTCTTGACAAGAAAGAAGGAGAAGCAGGGGAGAAGAAAGAAAGAGAAAGAAAGAAAGAGAGAGAGAGAGAGAGAAAGAAAGAGAGAAAGAGAGAGAGAGAGAAAGAAAGAGAGAAAGAAAGAGAAGAAAGGAAGGACGAAAGAAAGAAAGAAATGAAAGGAAGGAAAGGAGAGAGAGAAAAAAAGAAGAAAGGAAGGAAGGAAGGAAGGAAGGAAGAAGGAAGGAAGGAAGGAAGGAAGGAAGGAAGGAAGGAAGGAAGGAAGGAAGGAAGGAAGGAAGGAAAGAGCCACAGCAGATGCCCATACATGCACAGTATGTCTCACATTCCAGATTACCTATTAGTAACTCTCCTTTTTCTTTTTTTATTATGTTTTTATTGTCAAGGCAATGTATGGAGGGGTTAGTTACGTAAGAGAGGGGCAATAAGTAAATTTCTTGTCGAACTTTTTACTGAACCCACATTCCAGTTTAGATTCTCAATGATTTGGTCATACTGCTAATAAGAAAACAGGAAACTGAGACTTGTTAAACTTTTTAACAGAGTAAAATAGTCTCATTGTTCCCATAAAAAGGAAGAGACTGGATTGGTGGATAGAACTTTCTCCTGAAGGAGCCAAAGTACTTAAGAGAGTTTCAGGTGTAATTCTATGAAAATGAGGGCAGGGGAAATCACCTAAACCAGGTCTCACATACAAGGCTATATATAGTACATGCCTAGGATATTGAAATAATGTCTTCTGGAAATAGTTATTTAAGATTGGTGGCTGAAGAAGAAAAGACCACAATGATAGTTTTTGAAAGGTAAAGTCGAATGATTCATAGATAAATAATGTTTGAGAAAACTAATGTAATAAAGAAACCCTGCAATAACTTCTGATTAGTGGTTAGGCAGAGCTATGAATTATTCATTCTTAAATGTCCACTGTGAAGGCTCTTAGTTAAAACTGCTTAGCTCTTTAGTACCAAAAGGTATCAAAAAAGAAGGAAGGAAGGAAAGAAGGAAGGAAGGAAGGAAAGAAGGAAGGAAGGAAGGAAAGAAGGAAGGAAGGAAGGAAGGAAGGAAGGGAGGGAGGGAGGGAGGGAGGGAGGGAGGGAGGGAGGGAGGGAAGGAGGGAAAAGAGAAGGGAAACAAGTTTCAAGGCAATCTGTAGAATTTAAATCTATTAAATGATCGTTTATCATCACAATAAGGCTAAGGAATAAAGAGAAACTCCCTAGATAATAAACAGAAAACGGTATAAAATCTAAGAAATTTGTGATAAGATGCTTCTAGGGAATGTGAAAAAATTCTAGTTTACTCCTGCCCATACCAATAATCAGTCGGTACTTAAACAAACTCGCAGGTCCGTATTATTTGTACAATCAATCGCTCATTCAACAAATATTTCAGAAGGATATAATATGTCAAAGATATAAGAGTGTCTAAATGGTTCACACTAAGCATCTTCCACTAAGCCAGATCCTGTGCCTAGTGCTAGAGATACAGGCCTAAAGAACCTGTGACATCTGATTTCAATGACCTCTAGGTGGGATGTGAGTCAAGAAATCCCATTCAAACCAAAATTCACCTACAGCAGACCACCTGATACGAGGGAAGTGTTCTAATAAAATCCCTTGCGTCTCTTTTTCTTTGAGTCCCAGCTCAAGGAAAGTCCCTGTGGTTGTTCCAATGCATAGTGACATGACCTTGGGCAAGTTGTTTTTGTACATTTACTCCACCAAAGTTTTATTGAAGATTCTTATTGTCCTAGTTTTAATTACTCTATTCAGTATTGTTTTACTGCAAATCATTTCAAATCATTGCTGGAAGAAAAACAAATTTATTTTAAAATTTTAATGAGATCATATTAGAAAAAACATCAATCTAGAACCCCAAAGATTTCACTGAGTCCTATAGGATGGAAAAGTTCTACCATAAACCCAGATCCTTATGACATAGAATTGGGGAAGATTGTCTTTCCTTGGTCACCCAGAACTAGCCTTTTATCCACAGCTCAACTTCCCATGTTACTCCCTGACACAGCCTCCAGGCTCACGCAGTGATACATTTGCAATGACTGGTCCTACTTACATCAACACATCAACGGGGTCAGAGCATTCTCTATGGAGCAGAATCCTCAACGTCAGCAGTCCCCTGTGTCTTCAGGTTCTTTAAGATAATCAAGCTATAAGTATTCAATCCCAGACCACTTGCAGATCAACCTTTATGCAGAGGGAAGAGAGAAAAGTAATATTTGAATTACAGATTTTTACTTCATTCATATTACTATCTAACAACACTTCCAAGTAATAACACATGTCATTAAACTTCTGGAAAACTCGACCAGATACTTATGAAAACATGAGAATGGAAAAAAAATCTTAGTATTTTTATGAAAATAATTTTGATCTTGTGGATCTCTTAAAAGTCTCTCAAGCCAGACGCCGGTGGCTCACACCTGTAAACCTAGCTACTCAGGAGGCTGAGATCTGAAGATTACAGTTCAAAGCCAGCCCAGGCAGGAACATCCATGAGACTCTTATCTCCAATAAACCACCAGAAAACTGGAAGTAGAGCTGTGACTCAAGTGGTACAGTGCTAGCCTTGAGCTGAAAAGCTCAGGGACAGCGCCCAGGCCCAGAGTTCAAGTCCCACGACCAAAAATAAAGTCAGAAATTCACAGGGATCCCAGATAACAACTCACATAATAAAAAGTCTCAGATTCACATCAGACTAGCATCCCTTCTTCCGCTCAGGGGCAACCAGTTATCTATTGAACCATTTTCTAGAAGATAGCTATATCTATCTATCTATCTATCTATCTATCTATCTATCTATCTATATATCTATCTATCTATCTATCTATCTATCACTATGTATAATATATATCTAGAAGATATATATCATAGATATAGATAGATATAAATAGCTCTATATAGAGATAGATATATATCTATAGATATACATATTTTCTAGATATCTATAACTATATATGATATGGATATCTGGATTTTTTTAACTTGAAAAGGTTAAATGTCAGTATACTATGCATTTCACCTTGGTTCTTCTGTTACACCTGTTGGGGGTAGATCCATTCCAGCCTCCTAAGTGGCGTCCTTCATTCCACTGATTTATCCTATCCCACTGAAGGGCTAGAAATATGTATAGCTAACAACATAGAGCCACAGTATTCCGATGGGCTTCTGAATGGCTACTTTGCCAATTTCTTTTTTTTCTTTTTTCTTTTGTCAGTTATGGGGCTTAAACTCAGGGCCTGTGCACTGTCCCTGAGCTCTTTCACTCAGGGTTAGTGCTCTACCACTTTGAGACACAGCACCACTTCCAGTTTTCTGGTGATTAATTGGAGATAAGAGTCTCCTGGAATTTCCTGCCAATTTTTTAATGGAAATAGAATGGCTACATGAAGCAAAAACAGATGCTTGGTATCTTCCAACAGCTTTCATCTGGTTTCTAGGTTCCCAGTGGGGTGTGCAAGTAAAGTCTTCAACCTTTGAAAGAACAGACATGCATTTGCTCTATTCCTGTCCTTTGATAGTCAGGCTTACCTTATTAATCCAAGCATGAACCATACCTGAGCCTATATGCATGGGTCTGTTTACAAATACCATCCTCTTTTGAAACACACTGTCCTTAATGTCATCTCATCCTGAGGGAAGAATGGGGGCCCAAGGATCTCACATGATATTTCTGAATGCTATCTCCCAATAGGACTAAGGTGTCACAAGGCTGATTTAAGCCTGTTGGTTCACAACTTCCCTAACATAGAAGCTAAAGCAGCCCTACCTTATATAGCTTAGCAAGTCTAATAACACTGAAAGACTCAAATGTTAAACATTATATAAGCCATCTGGGTTTTCTTCTTTGTTCTGAGGTGGACAAGCTCTACAATCTCCAGAAGCTACTGAGCTGCTGCTAACTAATACAGTGGAGATAATAATAAGGTTGTTAAGAAGAATAATTCTAATCATGTATAAAATCTTCCTACCACATACTATGTGCTCAACACTTAGTAGTTGTTAACTCCCTCTTATCTGTTTTAGGAATACAAATGAGTTCTAGAGTACTCTGGAGAAAAAGAACACTAGGACAAGTAAAGATGGCTGAGGTTTTTTTTCAACCAAAAAGAAATTTCCTGAAGTGTTTGTCACCTGTCTAACTCAAAATGAGAGTCACAAGTACACTTTCCTCCTTTCTATCTCATCAGGCTAGGAAAATGGGTACAATGATCCCTACTTTTCTGTGTCACCTTTCTAGGCTCTGAAATAACATAGACCAGAGTGGTTTGCATTTGTACAACCAGGGAACCTGAGAAAATCCACCATGGTTTAGAGGAATCTTTCAGTGTAGAATGATTTATGAAAAACAATAGTTCCTCTGTAGAAAACATCAGGAACCTCTGATCTAATCCAACGTTCTTATTTCACTGATGAAAATAAGCCCCAAACTCAGAGAGCTAACTTCTAAGTAGTAAAACTGAGACTAGGTAAAGTGACCCTGAGCAGTTGGAATCATCCTTCATGTGCCACATGTCCAGGGTGGGCTCCAAGAAGCCTGAGAACAAGCTACAAACTTCGCTTATCTCTGCTACATCAGTCCAGCATTGTAACTGTGCCCAGCCATATAATTAGCTCAGGGGTTCAAACCACATCTTATTCATCTTCTTGTCGGTGTCCTACCCTCTCCTCTGTTTTCAACCACTGGTAATTATAGAGTAAAAAAAAAATCACAGCTTATTTTCCTTTTCTGAATATACACATGATCTCAGACTTGGGGAGTTGAAAAGACCATGAGAATTCACCTAGCAAAACCCATATGGAAACTCAGATCAAGATGAGCTCTATGATTTGCCTGGATCACCACTTAATAGTAGATTCCAGATCAGAACCCCATCCTTTTGGTTTTGTCCCATTATCCTACTAATCTCTAGTGCAAAGACATGGTTTGTTTGGTGTTTTGGGGGGGGTTGTGTGTGGTGTTGTTTTTTTGTTTGATTGTTTCTTGTTTCAATATTGGTGTTGATGTTGGTGTTGGTGTTGGTCCTGGGGCTTGAACTAACATCCTGGGAGCTGTCCCTGATCATTTTCTCTCAAGGCTAGCACTCTACTACTTGAGCTACAACTCTATTTTCAGCTTTTTGGTGGTTAATTGGAGACAAGAGTTGAAATGACTTACCTGCTTGGACTGAAACCAACGCACAGTCCTCAAATCTCAGCCTCTGAGTAGTCAGGATTGCAGGCATGAGCCACTGGTGCCCCTAGCAAGCGATACTTTTAAGACAAACTCTCTAGTTCCTAAATTCCATGAATATATGGTGTACCTTTCTTTCTTGAAGGCACTTCTTTAACTAATTAATTAGTTAATTGATTAAGTGTTGGTTTGGGGGCTTGAACTCAGAGTCTAGGTGCTCTCCCTTAGCTTCTCTTGCTCAAGGCTGGAGCTCTACCACTTAAACCACAGCTCCACTTCTGCCTTTTGCTGGCTAACTAGAGATAAGAGCCTCACTTTCCTGCCCAGATTCTCATCCATTTGCTCTGCCAGTAACACAGGATAAGACAGCCACAAGAGATTTTTTGACTTGGTATCCTGATCATAACCTTAAGGCCTTGACCTCCAACCAGGGGTACTACTGGAAAAATAAGTCTTAACATCTCATATGCTGCCCATAAGCCAACATGCAAGTCCCATTGCTCTCTTCACCTTTGGCAGGGACACTGTCTTATCACTCCTTCTACATTCAGTGTGGGTTTTTCTTTGAGAACTTCACCACCCTTATCTAAAACCTCTAGATCTCTGGTCACCTCTGGACTTCTGAAAGGAGCCTATAACATGTCTCTTTCCCTCACTTGACTCCTTCTTCCCTGCAATTTCCCCAATAAGCTGTGGTCGCCTGAATTTTCTCCCAACAACCCTACATTTGCTTTTAAAGAAATGTTCAAGACTCTACAACGTACAAAGCTCTCATTGATAGCAACAAATGCATTTGTACAATGAGATGTTGTGCAATCCTTACTTCCCAGGACTGGTTTTCACCACCCTAAGACTATCTTCTACTGTCACCAGATCAGACACAGCCTTCTGAGTGCTGATCCTCTGCTCTATCACTCTCTACTTCCTGCCTTTCTAATGTCCACTGATTCTTACTTTCCAGCATCTGCCTCCAAACCTTGTAAACACTTCCATACACTCCTGCACTTGAAGACACTGAATAATTAGCCCTACCTTTTATGTATTACTCTTTTACTATTTCTTGGAAAAGACTGTAAGTACTAAGTGCATGGTTATATTATGTACTAGGTGTGAAAGCACTTGGTAAATACCAAAGAAAGACTCCTGCTAAGTAAAAATAAATTTTATAAAGAAGAATTCATATGAACCACAGAACTTTAAGTTAAGCTGAAAACTTTGAGCTAACAAAACTTCAAGTCAAGACCTAGGGAACCTTTTTTTTGGAGGGGAGGGGGAACTGGCTCAGGCATTTAAACTTCCTTTGTTTCATTGGCTGTAGTTTTAGAAAATGAGTGGAGACTTACTCTGTCCCACCCTGGAAGTCCAAAAGATTTCACTCTTTCTTTTGTGCTTTCTGCCATCTTCTCCTAGGCTTCCAGCACACCTGGCCTCTAGAAGGGAAATTCTAGCGCATGCATATTCAGTGATAATAAACTTTCCAAGATTCTGGACATAAGACAATCCTTCTCAAGAGCACATTCTGTCCTGACAATTGATCTTTCCTTTCATTTCTTTAATTATTCTGCAAAGATTTAGTGAGCAAGTTCTTCAGATACAAGGATGGTTAATAAAACAATTAAGGTACCCACCGTGGAATGAACTTTTACTCAAAATGTGGTCAGAGGGAGACCTGCCACACCATAGCCCAAGGGAGGTTGCTAAAACAAATACAACTCGCCTGAACATGGCACAACACATTTCTTTTCCAGTAAGTCTGGAGTAGCACCTCAGATCTGCATTAACTTTAAAAGAAAGCATTGCAGTTGATTTTGAAACACATTAAACCTTGAGAGCCACTGGCCCAGTAGAGGAGACCAACATGGAAGGGGATGAACAGTGTGCCTTCTTTAACATAAAAGAGAAATTTACAATTGTCATGTATGCACATGGAGAGTGATTGAGCAATGGAGAAGAATTCATATGTTGCAATGAGAAAGAAACAGTTTCAAGGTCTCATCCTGCCTCTGGCATGTCA